CATTAATATGAAAATGCAAGTAACAAACTATTGAAATACAAATAGCAAATTAAAATGCAAATAGCAAATTAAGAAAATTTTAAATATATAAACAAATTATTGAGAAGGCGATGTATTGTAATAATAATGGTAGTGAATATAATATGTAACATTAGAATTATTATAGATAGTTTCTTGTGATAATTCATTAAATTTTTCAAATAATTCATTTGAAGATTCAGTAGATAAAGTAACACTTTCGATATTATTAAGTTGAGAATTTAAAATTCGATTACTAAACATAAATAATTAAATTAAAATATTTATACTGATATTAATAAATTATACTTTGCAATATTTTTTTAGCAGTTTGAAAAGTTGGTGTTGCACTAGTTGCTTGCGTAATAGTAGCAGTAGATGTTGTAAGTATTGCTTTTTTAGTAAGTAATAGATTAACTTGATCTATACAAATAAATAAAAATTATTAAAATAGCACTAGAATTTATATAAATAAAAATAAATAAATTAAACCTTGTAAATTATTATAATTTGCATCCAGTATAATCATTCTAGAAAGATCTCCAAGTTTATTTATTTGAATATTATTTTTAGATCTTTCATATTGTTGAAAACCTGTTTGAGACTTATGCCGAGTAATTGCTATACATTCATAATCACTAGCCCCAAATGATTTTAATAATTGAATTGTTGTTTTACATCCTTTTTGATTTGTTATTCTATGATTAAATATATCAATTCCAGATGCAATTATAATGTAACGAAGATATGTTCCAAGCCTTTTTTCTCCAACATGTTTATCTTTATACCAAATTGGTTTGTTTAAAATATCTTAAAAATAAAACATATAATTCAATAGTATATAATAATAAATGGTATAAGAATTTAAATTACTTTCAAAATTTTCATCAATAGCTTGTAGATAAAAATGCAGACTAGCATCATTAGATCATTTTGAAAAGTACTTGTCATATATATTATTAATATGTTCTAAATTTAGAATAGATATTTTATCAGCTTGTTCTGGATTATCAATTCTACATTGATTGGTCTTAGATTTATAAATCACAATATCATAACCTTCATCTTGATGTTTTTGAAAATGATCCTTTTTAAGAAAATAATGTTCACCTTCTCTTAAAGCAATGAATAATGCATTAAAGAAAAAAACTCGATTAAATAATCCCCATGGTGTATCTGGAGATGTACAGTTATGTTTTAAAATATGAAGACATTTATCAAGAGTAAAAGATTTGGAGCCTTTGTTTCACCTTTGCATTTAGTGCTAAGCCATTTAATCTTTCCATTTAGAAGTGTATTAAGAGTTGAAAATTGCTGCTTATCATGAAGATTAATTTCTTTTAATGTTGATTTTTTAGTAATATAACATTGAAAAGTGACTATTGCTGATAGAACTGAATTTACAGAGTATTCTTCTTTATCAGCACATTTTGCATAAGAAAAAAAGCGTACCAAATTTGAGTCAAGCTGTTTTTGATCTGAAATAACATTGATATTACTATCCAATACATATTCTTTGCAATGATCATTAAATTTTTTTAACAAGTTGGTAGTAGAACGTTTTGTATTCTTAACAGTAGTTTGATCAATAAAAAAAGAAATACGATCCTCAAATTCATTTAATAATGTTGATTTATTAACTTTTGGCATTTTTAAAAGAAGCAAAAAAATTTAAAATTGCAAAATAAATAATTCTTTGTTAAATTTATTTATTTTATTTTGAAATTACATCATCATTTTAGTCTAAAATTTATTACATAATTAATATGGGTAACATGATCAATGAACATTCCCAGATAATATCATTATCAGATAAAATATAAGTGATATTGGATCAGTGTCATTTAGCAGCTATTTGTTAACTCGATCATGCTGCGAAGTGGCATGATCTGAGTTAACAAATAGCTACTAAATGATGCTAATCCAATATTACCTATATTCTACCTAATAACTATTAATTATCAATACAGTTATTATTCTCATACTAGAATACCAAATACACAATATAGTTTTTTCTTATTCTGTATGCAATAAAATTCTAGCCAAATATTTAACTGTAGCCAAACATAAATCCCATCTAGCTCATTCTATTCTGAATAGTATCACGCTTAACCCATTTTTATATAATATACACAATATCTGGAACATTCAGCTTCAACATCATATATCTAACTTCATGTTACAAATTAATAACTCTGATTTACTAGGAACTTCTACACACATTTGACTACAACAATTACAAAATAATCTCTGGTCAACTACAAATATATTACAACATTCCCAACCCAATATTAATGGACCTAATAGATATACTTTAAACTTTAAAATTATCCAATTTTTTATACATATTAACATGTCTATAACAGCTAATAATAGTGTATCTTGGCCT